GGGAGGGGGCGGGGCTTGTGCTCTGTCTGGGCGCCCCCTACTGGAGGGGAGGTCTGAGCTCCCCTTTTAAAGGGGGGGGGGGTACCTGTATCTATAGTGGGGGAGGGGGGGGGGACACCCCCAAAATAGGGGCACCCCCTTGGAGGTTGGGGGAGGGGGAGGGGGGGAGGGGGACACATGCGGGGTGAGGGGGGGGTACCCGGGCTTGGGGGGGGGTCCCTGCAAAGTTGGGGGTACCCGGGTGCTATGGGGCTGGAGGGGGGGGAGGGGGGGGGGGAATCACTGTGCCGGGGGGGGGAGGGGATTATTGCGGGGTGGGGGGGACCCCTGCAATGGGGGGGTCACCCTTAATTTGGGGTACGGCACAGGGGGGGGGTGGGAGGAGGAGGAGCCCATGCGAGGAATGGGGGGGGGGGTGGGGGTCACCCTGATCTTGGGGTGCACCACGGGGTGGGGGCACCCATGCGAAGGGGAGGGGGAGGGAGGGGTCCCTGGTCTTGGGGTGCACCCACATCAAATGGTGGGGGGGGGGGGCACCCCGGATTGGGTTATGGCGTGATAGGGCCGGTTCACCCCTTGGGGGGGGGGTAAAGAGGGGGGGCGGCCCGGTTTTGGGGTGCCCCATGGGATGGGGGCACCCATGGAAGCCTATGGGGAGGTCACCCTGGTCTTGGGGTGCTTTTATGGGACCAGGGCACCCATGCAAGTCTATGGGGCGGGGGGGGGGGGGGGGCACCCGCATTTTGGGGCGCACCACATGCAAGGGGAGGAATGGGGGGGGGTGACCCCAGGAGTGGGGTGCACCTTGGGACCAGGGCACCCATGCAAGGCTATAGGGGGGTCACCCAGTTTTGGGGGTTCACTACGGGGTCATGGCACTCATGCAAGTCTATGGGGGGGTCACCCTGGCCTTGGGGTGCGCCACAGGGTGGGGGGCACCCATGCAAGGGTGAAGGGGGGGGGGGGTTCAACCTGATCTTGGGGTGCATCATGGCTACAGGGCACCCATGCAAGTCTATGGGGGTACGGGGAGGGGGGGGGGGTCACCCAGCTCTTGGGGTGCACCATGGGGCACCCATGTGAAGAAATGGGGTGACCCCAGCGTTGGGGTGCGCCACGGGAGTGGTGACACTCATGCAAGTCTATGGGGGGACAGGGGGGGTCACCCTGATCTGTGGGTGCTCTATGGGACCAGGGCACCCATGAAAGGCAATGGGGGGGGGGTCACCCAGCTCTTGGGGTGCACCACATGCAAGGGGAGGGTGACCCCAGGGTTGGGTGCGCCGTGGGGTGGGGGCACCCATGCAAGTCTATAGGGGGGTCATCCAACTCTTGGGGTGCACCACAGGGTGATGGCACTCATGCAAGTCTATGGGGGGGGGGTCACCCTGGTCTTGGGGTGCACCATGGGGTACCCATGCACAGCGTTGGGTGCACTGTGGTGCTAGGGCACCCATGCAAGTCTATGGGGGGGGGTGGGGGGGGTCACCCTCATCTTGGGGCGCACCATGGGGTTGGGGGTGTCACCCTGTCCCCGGACCCCGGGTGACACTGAGCGGCACTGGGATGCATTGGGTGACGTTGAGCGAATTGGGTGCTGTCGAGCGGCGCTGGGTGCCATTGGCTTGGGTTGGGTGCCGTTGAGCAGCGTTGGGTGGCGTTGAGTTGGATGGTGCTGAGTGGGGTGGGCTGGGCTCCATAGGGTGCTGCTGAGCACTGTTGAGTGCCACTGGGTGGCATTGAATGGCATTGAGTACTGTTGGGTGCCGATGGATGCCGTTGGGTCCCGTTGAGTGCCGTTGGGTGCTGATGGATGCCGTTGAGTGCCGTTGGGTGCTGATGGATGCCGTTGGGTACCATTGAGTGCCGCTGGGTGCTGCTGAGCGCCGTTGGCTGCGTTGGATGCTGTCGAGCACCAATGGGTGCCGTTGGGTGCCGATGGATGCCGTTGGGTACCGCTGAGTGCTGTTGGGTGCTGTTGAGCGCCGTTGAGTGCTGTTGGCTGCGTTGGATGCTGTTGAGAGCCGTTGGATGCCATTGGGTGCTGATGGATGTTGTTGGGTGCCATTGAGTGCCATCGGGTGCTGTCGAGCGCTGTTGGCTATGTTGGATGCTGTCAAGCACTACTGGGTGCCGTTGGGTGCTGATGGATGCCGATGGATGCCGTTGGGTCCCGTTGAGTGCCACCGGGTCCTGTTGAGCTCGTTGGGTGCCAATGGATGCCGTTGGGTCCCGTTGAGTGCCACTGGGTGCCGTTGAGTGCTGTTGGCTGCGTTGGGTGCTGTTGAGCGCCGTTGTGTGCAGTTGGGTGCCAATGGATGCCGTTGGGTCCCGTTGAGTGCCACCGGGTGCCGTTGAGCGCCGTTGGCTGCGTCGGGTGCTGTTGAGCGCCGTTGTGTGCAGTTGGGTGCCAATGGATGCCGTTGGGTCCCGTTGAGTGCCACCGGGTGCCATTGAGCGCCGTTGGCTGCGTCGGGTGCTGTTGAGTGCAGTTGGGTGCCGATGGATGCTGTTGGGTCCCGTTGAGTGCCACTGGGTCCTGTTGAGTGCCATTGAGTGCCGTTGGGTGCCGATGGATGCCGTTGGGTCCCGTTGAGTGCCACCGGGTGCCATTGAGCGCCGTTGGCTGCGTCGGGTGCTGTCGAGCGCCGTTGGGTGCCGATGGATGCCGTAGGGTCCTGTTGAGTGCCACCGGGTGCCGTTGAGCGCCGTTGGCTGCGTTGGGTGCTGTCGAGCGCCGTTGGGTGCCGATGGATGCCGTTGGGTCCCTTTAAGTGCCACCGGGTGCCGTTGAGTGCCGTTGGCTGCGTCGGGTGCTGTCGAGCGCCGTTGGGTGCCGATGGATGCCGTTGGGTCCCGTTGAGTGCCACCGGGTGCTGTCGAGCGCCGTCGGGCGCCATCGGATGCCGTTGGGTGTCATTGGGTGAGGTCGATCTCACCTCGCCCCCCCACCCTCCTCCACCCCCCACACCCCCAGCCCCTCACCCCCCCCCCCCACCACCTTCTCCCCCCCCCATCTCAGGGCGGAAGGGGACTGAGCGGGGTCCCGGCGCCCTTGAAGCAGGCGGACTCGTAGTGCTTGTTGAGATAGGACTTGAGGGCGAAGGTCTTGCTGCAACGCTTGCACTTGAAGTGCTTGAAGGCCGAGTGGGTCTGCATGTGGGCGCGCAGGTTGGAGCGGTCGGCGAAGGCCTTGCCGCAGTGGGCGCAACCGAAGGGTTTCTCGCCGGTGTGCGAGCGCATGTGGCCCTGCAGCAACCAGGGCCGGCTGAAGGCTTTGCCGCACACGTCGCATTTGTGCTTGAGGTCGTGCGTGAGGAGATGCATGGCCATGGCCGGCATGGAGACGTAAACCTTGCCGCACGTCGGGCATTTCTTGGCCATCTTGCTATCCAAACTGCGATGGGTTTGCTTGTGCCGGCTCAGGTTGGACGACGTGGCGTAGGTCTTACCGCACTCGCCGCACGCGTGCCGTTGGAGGCTCCGCGGTGACGCCGATGACGACGCCGATGCTGCCGTTGTTGATGCCGATGTCTTCCTCCGGGACCTCCCGTCCGTGATGAAGAAGGCGTCCACGGCGTAGCCTTCGCTCACGGCCGCGTCGCCGTTGATGTAACCCCCGGCCAGGCCCGAGTGGGGGCTGTCGGGGGGATCCGAGTCCCCCCCGCCGTAAAGGGCCGAGGGCGACGGCACCTTCAGCGCCCCGGGGCCCGTGTACCCCGATGGGGCCATGTAGTCGCTGAGGTACCCTGGGGGGGGGAAAGGGGGGGGATGATGGGGGGCGGGATAGGGGGGGAGGAAGAGATGGGAGACTCGGTTAGGGATGCGCTGGCTGCGAGGAGGAAACAAGGGCGGGGGGGGACACACGGACCTGCACTGGCTCCTGACTGTCCCTGCCCCATTCCTGCCTCAGCTCTGCCCCATCCCTGCCCCATTCCTGCCCCATCCCTGCCCCATTCCTGCCCCATCTCTGCCCCATTCCTGCCTCATCTCTGCCCCCTTCCTGCCTCATCTCTGTCCCCTTCCTGCCTCATCTCTGCCCCATCCCTGCCCCATTCCTGCCTCAGCTCTGCCCCCTTCCTGCCTCAGCTCTGCCCCCTTCCTGCCTCAGCTCTGCCCCATCCCTGCCCAATTCCTGCCTCATTTCTGCCCCATTCCTGCCTCATCTCTGCCCAATTCCTGCCTCATTTCTGCCCCATTCCTGACTCATCTCTGTCCAATTCCTGCCCTGTCCCTGGCCCATTCCTGTCTCATCCCTGCCCCATCCCTGCCCCATTCCTGCCCTGTCCCTGCCCCATTCCTTCCTCTTCCCTACCCATCCCTGTTTCCATCCCTGCCCGCAGTTCCCATCCTTATCCCCATCCTTTCCCCTGCCCCATCCCTGCCTGTCCCTTCCCATCCCTGCCCCCAGTCCCATTTCTCCCTGTCCCCACTGCCCGTCTCTGCCCCCATCCCTGCCCGCAGGTCCCCTCCTTATCCCCATCCCTTCCCCTATCCCCATCCCTGCCCGCAGCTCCTTGTCCCGCTCCCTGTCCTCATCCCTGCTGTAGACCCCATCCCTGTCCCCATCCCTGTCCCTTCCCTTCTACTTTCCCTTGTCCCCATCATTTCCCTTGTCCCTGGCCCCATCCCGGTCCCTGCCTGCATCCCTTCCCTTGTCCCCTTCCCCATCCCTGCCCCTGCCTCCATCGCTGCCCTTTCCCTTCTCCCTTCTCCCCATCACTTCCCTTGTCCCTGGCCCCATCCCGGTCCCTGTCCTTTCCCTTCTCCCTGCCTGCATCCCTGCCCTTGTCCCTCTCCCCATCCCTGCTCTCAGCCCCCATCCCCTCCTGCATCCCTATCCCCGTCCCTTCCCTTGTCCCCATCCCTTCCCTTGTCCCTGTCCCCATCCCGGTCCCTGTCCTTTCCCTTCTCCCTGCTTGCATCCCTGCCCTTGTCCTTGTCCCCATCCCTACCCTCGGTCCCCATCATCCCCACCTCCATCCCTGTCCCTGTCCCCACCTGCATCCCTGTCCCCATCCCTTCCCTTGTCCCTGGCCCCATCCCGGTCCCCATCTGCATCCCTGCCCTTGTCCTTGTCCCCATCCCTGCCCGTGGTCCCCATCCCGTCCTGCATCCCTGTTCCCGTCCCTTCCCTTGTCCCCATCACTTCCCTTGTCCCTGGCCCCATCCCGGTCCCCATCTGCATCCCTGCCCGTGGTCCCCATCCCGTCCTGCATCCCTGTCCCTGTCCCCTCCTGCATCCCTGTTCCCGTCCCTTCCCTTGTCCCTGTCCCCATCCCAGTCCCTGTCCTTTCCCCTGTCCCTCCTGCATCCCTGCCCTTGTCCTTGTCCCCATCCCTGCCCTCGGTCCCAATCATCCCCTCCTGCATCCCTGTTCCCGTCCCTTCCCTTGTCCCCATCCCTTCCCTGGTCCCTGTCCCCATCCCGGTCCCTGTCCTTTCCCCTGTCCCTCCTGCATCCCTGCCCTTGTCCCTGCCTTCATCCCTGCCCTCGGTCCCCATCATCCCCTCCTGCATCCCTGTTCCCGTCCCTTCCCTTGTCCCCATCACTTCCCTTGTCCCTGGCCCCATCCCGGTCCCCATCTGCATCCCTGCCCTTGTCCTTGTCCCCATCCCTGCCCGTGGTCCCCATCATCCCCTCCTGCATCCCTGTCCCCTCCTGCATCCCTGTTCCCGTCCCTTCCCTTGTTCCCAGCACTTCCCTTGTCCCTGTCCCCATCCCGGTCCCCGTCTGCATCCCTGCCCTTGTCCCTGTCCCCATCCCTGCCCTCGGTCCCCATCATCCCCTCCTGCATCCCTGGCCCTGGCCCTGCCCGCAGTCCCCTGTTCCCATCCCTTCCCTTCTCCCCATCACTTCCCTTGTCCCTGTCCCCATCCTGGTCCCTGTCCTTTCCCCTGTCCCTCCTGCATCCCTGCCCTTGTCCTTGTCCCCATCCCTGCCCGTGGTCCCCATCATCCCCTCCTGCATCCCTGTCCCTATCCCTGCCTCCAGACCCCTGTCCCCGTCCCTTCCCCTGTCCCCATCACTTCCCTTGTTCCTGTCCCCATCCCGGTCCCTGCCAGCAGCCCCTTCCCTGCCTGCATCCCAGCCCTTGTTCCTGTCCCATCCCTGCCCTTGTCCCTGCCTGCATCCCTGCCTGCATCCCTGCCCTTCTCCCCGTCCCCATCCCTGCCCGTAGCCCCCATCCCGGTCCCCATCTGCATCCCTGCCCTTCTCCCTGTCCCCATCCCTGCCCGTAGCCCCCATCATCCCCTCCTGCATCCCTCTTCCCGTCCCTTCCCTTCTCCCCATCACTTCCCTTCTCCCTGTCCCCATCCCTGTCCGTAGCCCCCATCCCCTCCTTCATCCCTGTTCCCGTCCCTTCCCTTGTCCCCATCACTTCCCTTGTTCCTCGCCCCATCCCGGTCCCTGTCCTCAACTCCTTGTCCTTGTCCCCATCTCTGCCTGTGGTCCCCATCCCTGTCCCTGTCCCTGCCTGCATCCCTGCCCTTGTTCCTGTCCCCATCCCTGCCTGTGGTCCCCATCCCCTCCTGCATCCCTGTTCTCGTCCCTTCCCTTCTCCCCAGCACTTCCCTTGTCCCTGGCCCCATCCCGGTCCCCATCTGCATCCCAGCCCTCGTCCTTGTCCCCATCCCTGCCCGTGGTCCCCATCATCCCCTCCTGCATCGCTGTCCCTGTCCCCTCCTGCATCCCTGTTCCCGTTCCTTCCCTTGTCCCCATCACTTCCCTTGTCCCTGTCCCCATCCTGGTCCCTGTCCTTTCCCCTGTCCCTCCTGCATCCCTGCCCTTGTCCCTGTCCCCATCCCTGCCCGTGGTCCCCATCCCCTCCTGCATCCCTGTCCCTGTCCCTGCCTGCAGACCCCTGCACCCCTCCTTTCCCTTGTCCCCATCCCTTCCCTTGTCCTTGTCCCCATCCCTGCCCGTGGTCCCCATCACTTCCCTTGTCCCCATCACTTCCCTTCTCCCTGTCCCCATCGTGGTCCCTGTCCTTTCCCCTGTCCCTGCCTGCATCCCTGCCCTTGTCCCTCTCCCCATCCCTGCTCTCAGCCCCCATCCCTGCCTGCATCCCTGTTCCCGTCCCTTCCCTTGTCCCCATCACTTCCCTTGTTCCTGTCCCCATCCCGGTCCCTACCCTCAGCCCCTTCCCCTGCCTGCATCCCAGCCCTTGTTCCTGTCCCCATCTCTGCCCTTGTCCCTGCCTGCATCCCTGCCCTTCTCCCCGTCCCCATCCCTGCCCGTAGCCCCCATCCCCTCCTGCATCCCTGTCCCTATCCCTGCCTGCATCCCCGTCCCCATCCCTTCCCTTGTCCCTGGCCCCATCCCGGTCCCTCTCCTTTCCCTTGTCCCTGCCTTCATCCCTGCCCTTGTCCCTGTCCCCATCCCTGCCCGTGGTCCCCAGCATCCCTGCCTGCATCCCCATCCCCATCCCTGCATCCCCATCCCTATCCCCATCCCCATCCCTATCCCTCCATCCCCATCCCCATCCCTATCTCCATCCCCATCCCTGCCCCCACCTCCACCCCCTCCCCACCCCATTCCCCCCCCGTTTTCCCCCTCCCCATCCCGTTCCCTCCCTCTCAAGGTCACCCCGGCCGCCGGTTCGCTGCCGGTTACGCAACGCGCCGCAGCCGCCGCACCGGGAACGGCTCCCCCCCCCCCCCCCCCCCCCCCCCCCCCCCCCCCCCCCCCCCCCCCCCCCCCCCCCCCCCCCCCCCCCCCCAACCCCCCCCCCCAACCCCCCTTTCCCTGCACAAAGGCCGCGACCGGCACCGCTATCGCGACAGAGCAGCGCCCGCCCGCACACAAAAGGCTCCCCCCCCCCCCCATTCCCGTTCCCGTTCCCGTTTGCTCCCAATCCCGTTCTCTCCGCTCCCGTTCCCGTTCTCTCTGTTCCCATTCCCGTTTCTCCGCTCCCGTTCCCGTTCGTTCCCGTTCCCGTCCCCGTTCGTTCCCGTTCCCGTTCCCGTTCCCTCTGTTCCCGTTCCCATTCGCTCCCGTTCCCGTTCTCTCTGTTCCCGTTCTCTCTGTTCCCGTTCCCATTCGCTCCCTTTCCCGTTCTCTCCTCTCCCGTTCCCGTTCGCTCCCGTTCCCGTTCTCTCCGCTCCCTTTCCCGTTCTCTCCACTCCCGTTCCCGTTCCCGTTCGCTCCCTTTCCCGTTCTCTCCGCTCCCGTTCCCGTTCCCGTTCGCTCCCATTCCCGTTCCCGTTCTCTCCTCTCCCGTTCCCCTTCGCTCCCGTTCCCGTTCTCTCCGCTCCCGTTCCCGTCCCCGTTCGCTCCCGTTCGCTCCCGTTCGCTCCCGTTCCCGTCCCCGTTCCCGTTCCTCGCCCACCTTTGCCGTGCAAACGGGAGCCGAGCTCGGGCCGGTTCCTGCCGTAGGGAGCCGCGATTCCAGCCGGGAAATCATCGCCCTTCACCTTCTTGACGAGGAAGGAGCGGGGCATGGCCACAAAGGGGGGGGCACCCCCCGTTTTTTTGGGGGGGGGGGGGGGGAACGGAGCCTTTGTGCCTCGACCCCCCCCCCGCCGTGGGGCAAGAGCCGGGGGGGGGCCCCGTCGTTTTTTTGGGGGGGGGGGGGGGGGGGTCCCCGTTCAGCACCGGGGACAGAAAGGGGGTGGGGGGGTGGGGGTGGGGGGTGGGGAACGGAGCCCCCCGTGGGTCCCGTTCAGCACCGGCGGCGGGGACAGCTCCGGAGCCCGCCGGAGGAGGGGGGCGGGGTTAAAGGAGGAGGGGGCGGGGTCGAGGGCGGGGCTTGGAGGAGGAGGCAGCGACTGAGAGCGGCGGCGGCGGCGACCGGTTATAACGGGGATGGGGGGGGATGGGGGGGGGGGGGAGGGGGAGGAGCTTGGGGGGGGGAGGGGAAAGGGGAGGAGATTGGGGAGGGGGAGGGGAAAGGGGAGGGAGGGGGAAACCCGGGGGGGGGGGGAGGGGAATCCCGGGAAAGCCCCTTGGGGAGAGGAGGGGGATGGGGGGGGGGGGGATGGATGTGAATGCTCGTTAGCATCTCATTAGCATCTCATTAGCATCTCGTTAGCGTGGGGGGTTGTGGGGAGGGAAGGGGGGGGGTGTGCAACTGCGGGAGGGGGGGTTGGCTATGGGGTGCTGGGGGTGCCCCATTGAAGACTGAGGGTGCCCCATTGAGCTCTGAGGCTGCCCCACTGAGCTCTGAGGCTGCCCCATTGAGCTCTGAGGCTGCCCCATTGATCCCTGAGGCTGCCCCATTGAGCCCTGAGGCTGCCCCATTGAGGCCTGACCCTGCCCCATTGAGCCCTGAAGCTGCCCCATTGAGCTCTGAGGCTGCCCCACTGAGCCCTGAGGTTGCCCCATTGAGCTCTGAGGCTGCCCCATTGAGCCCTGAAGCTGCCCCATTGAGCTCTGAGGCTGCCCCATTGAGCCCTGAGGGTGCCCCATTGAGCCCTGAGGCTGCCCCATTGAAGACTGAGGGTGCCCCATTGAGGCCTGAGGCTGCCCCATTGAAGACTGAGGCTGCCCCATTGAGCTCTGAGGGTGCCCCATTGAGCCCTGAAGCTGCCCCATTGAGGCCTGAGGCTGCCCCATTGAGCCCTGAGGCTGCCCCATTGAAGAATGAGGCTGCCCCATTGAGGCCTGCAGCTGCCCCATTGAGCTCTGAGGCTGCTCCATTGAGCCCTGAAGCTGCCCCATTGAGCTCTGAGGCTGCCCCATTGAAGACTGAGGGTGCCCCATTGAGGCCTGAGCCTGCCCCATTGAGCCCTGAAGCTGCCCCATTGAGCTCTGAGGCTGCCCCATTGAGGCCTGAGCCTGCCCCATTGAGCTCTGAGGCTGCCCCATTGAAGACTGAAGCTGCCCCATTGAGCTCTGAGGCTGCCCCATTGAGGCCTGAGGGTGCCCCATTGAGCCTTGAGGCTGCCCCATTGAGCCCTGAAGCTGCCCCATTGAGCTCTGAGGCTGCCCCATTGAGGCCTGAGCCTGCCCCATTGAGGCCTGAGGCTGCCCCATTGAGGCCTGAGGCTGCCCCATTGAGGCCTGAGCCTGCCCCATTGAGCCCTGAGGCTGCCCCATTGAGGCCTGAGGGTGCCCCATTGAGGCCTGAGGCTGCCCCATTGAGCTCGGAGGTTGCACCTCCAACCCTGAAGCTGCCCAATGGGGTGCCGGGGTTGACCAATGGGGTTCAGGGGCTCCCCCATAGGGTGCTGAAGCCGTCCAATGGGGTGTTGAAGCTGCCCAATGGGGTGCTGATGCTGCCCAATGGGGTGCCGGTGTTGACCAATGGGGTTCAGGGGTTACCCCATAGGGTGCTGATGCTGCCCAATGGGGTGCTGAACCTGCCCAATGGGGTGCTGGGGTTGACCAATGGGGTTCAGGGGCTCCCCCATAGGGTGCTGATGCTGCCCAATGGGGTGCCGGCATTGACCAATGGGGTTCAGGGGCGCCCCCATAGGGTGCTGAAGCTGCCCAATGGGGTGCTGATGCTGCCCAATGGGGTGCCAGCATTGACCAATGGGGTTCAGGGGCTCCCCCAGAGGGTGCTGATGCTGCCCAATGGGGTGCTGATGCTGCCCAATGGGGTGCTGTTGCTGACCAATGGGGTTCAGGGGCGCCCCCATAGGGTGCTGAAGCCGCCCAATGGGGTGTTGAAGCTGCCCAATGGGGTGCCGGCATTGACCAATGGGGTTCAGGGGCGCCCCCATAGGGTGCTGATGCTGCCCAATGGGGTGCTGAAGCTGCCCAATGGGGTGTTGAAGCTGCCCAATGGGGTGCCGGCATTGACCAATGAGGTTCAGGGGCTCCCCCATAGGGTGCTGAAGCCGCCCAATGGGGCGCAGCGCTTGCGGGTGCAGCTGGGGTGGGGGCGGGGCTAATTAGCCCTTTAATGAGCGCCCCCCGGCCCCAGCTGCTCCCCCCTCATTAAGGGTCATTAATATGCAAATGGCTTCGGCTGCTGCCAGGCGCGACCCCACGTGACCCCTCGGGGGCGGGGTCACGTGTGGGGTGGAAGAGGCTTTATTGTGTGGGGCACCCCATAGATGGGGGGGATATGGGGGGGATATGGGGGGGGGGCTCCACATTGAGGGCTCATTGGGGAGCCCCTCTTGGGGTGTCCTCATTGGTTGAGCTCCATGGAGAGGGGCTCCTCATGGGGTGGCTCCTCATTGGGTGGCTCCTCATTGGGTGGCTCCTCATTGGTTGAGCTCCACGTTGAGTCGTTCCCCATTGGGTGGCTCCTCATTGGTTGACTCCTCATTGGGTGGCTCCTCATTGGTCGAGCTCCACGTTGAGGGGCTCCTCATTGGTCAAGCTCCATGTTGAGGGGCTCCCCATTGGTTGAGCTCCTCATTGGGTGGCTCCTCACTGGGGGCTCCTCATTGGTCGAGCTCCACGTTGAGGGGCTCCCCATTGGGTGGCTCCTTACTGGGGGGCTCCTCATTGGTCGAGCTCCACATTGAGGGGCTCCTCATTGGTTGGCTTCTTATTGAGGGGCTCCTCATTGGTCGAGCTCCACATTGAGGGTCTCCCCATTGGGTGGCTCCTTATTGGCGGCTCCTCATTGGTCGGGTCCTTATTGGGGGGCTCCTCATTGGTCGAGCTCCACGTTGAGGGGCTCCCCATTGGGTGGCTCCCCATTGGGTGACTCCTTATTGGGGGGCTCCTCATTGGTCGAGCTTCACATTGAGGAGCTCCTCATTGGGTGACTCCTCACTGGGGGCTCCTCATTGGTCGAGCTCCACATTGAGGAGCTCCTCATTGGGTGACTCCTCACTGGGGGCTCCTCATTGGTTGAGCTCCACATTGAGGGGATCCTCATTGGTCAAGCTCCACGTTGAGGGGCTCCCCATTGGGTGGCTCCTTATTGGGTGGCTCCTCATTGGTCGAGCTCCACATTGAGGGGCTCCTCATTGGTTGAGCTCCCCACTGGGTGGCTCCTCATAGGGGGCTCCTCATTGGTTGAACTCCACGTTGAGGGGCTCCTCATTGGGTGGCTCTTCACTGGGGGCTCCTCATTGGTTGGACTCTACATTGAGGGGCTCCCCATTGGTTGAGCTCCCCATTGGGTGGCTCCTCATTGGGGGCTCCTCATTGGTCGAGCTCCGTGTTGAGGGGCTCCCCATTGGTTGTCTTCTTATTAGGGGGCTCCTCATTGGTTGGACTCCACATTGAGGGGCTCCCCATTGGGTGGCTCCTTACTGGGGGTCTCCTCATTGGTCGAGCTCCACGTTGAGGGGCTCCCCATTGGGTGGCTCCTCATCGGGGGCTCCTCATTGGTCAAGCTCCACATTAGGGGGCTCCTCATTGGGTGGCTCTTTGTTGGGGGCCTCCTTATTGGGGGGGGCTCCTCATTCGTGGGGGCTCCTCATTGGGTGGCTCCACTCTGGGGGGGGAGCTCCACACTGGGGGGCTCTTCATTGGCCAATCCACTTTGGGGGGCTTCTCATTGGTCAAGCTCCATGTTGGGGGGCTCCACATTGGGGGGCTCCTCATTGGTCAAGCTCCATGCTGGGGGGGTCCTCATTGGGTTGCTCATTGAATGGTTCCTTATTGGGGCCTCCACACTGGGGGGCTCCTCATTGGTCAAGCTCCATGTTGGGGGGCTCCTCATTGGTCAAGTTCCATGTTGGGGGGCTCCTCATTGGTCAAGCTCCATGTTGGGGGGCTCCTCATTGGTCAAGTTCCATGTTGGGGGGCTCCTCATTGGTCAAGCTCCACGCTGGGGGCTTCTCATTGGCCAAGCTCCATGTTGGGGGTTCCACATTGGGGGGCTCCTCATTGGTCAAGCTCCATGCTGGGGGGGTCCTCATTGGGTTGCTCATTGAATGGTTCCTTATTGGGGCCTCCACACTGGGGGGCTCCTCATTGGTCAAGCTCCATGTTGGGGGGCTCCTCATTGGTCAAGTTCCATGTTGGGGGGCTCCTCATTGGTCAAGCTCCATGTTGGGGGGCTCCTCATTGGTCAAGTTCCATGTTGGGGGGCTCCTCATTGGTCAAGCTCCACGCTGGGGGCTTCTCATTGGCCAAGCTCCATGTTGGGGGTTCCACATTGGGGGGCTCCTCATTGGTCAAGCTCCATGCCGGGGGGCTCCTCATTGGGTTGCTCATTGAATGGCTCCTCATTGGGGTGCTCCTCAGTGGGGTCTCCACGTTGGGGAGCTCCTCATTGGTCAAGCTCCACGTTGGGGAGCTCCTCATTGGTCAAGCTCCATGTTGGTGTTCTCCTCATTGGGTGGCTTCTCATTGGGTGTTTCCTCATTGGGTGCCCCCTCACTGGGTGGCTTCTCATTGGGTGCCCCCTCATTGGGTGGCTTCTCATTGGGTGGCTTCTCATTGGGTATTTCCTCATTGGATGCCCCCCTTATTGGATGCCCCCTCACTGGTTGCCCCCTCATTGGCTGCACCCTGAATGGGTGTCCCCTCATTGGGTGTCCCCTCAATGGATGGCCCCTCATTGGTTGCCCTCTCATTGGGTGTTTCCTCATTGGGCGCTCTCTCATTGGCTCCCCCCTCAATGGGTAACCACTGAATGGGTGCCTCCTCATTGGGTGTCCCCTCGATGGATGCGCCCTCATTGGTTGCTCTCTCATTGGGTGCCCACTCATTGGCTGTCTCTTCATCGGTTGCCCCCTCATTGGGTAGCCCCTGAATGGGTGCCTACTCATTGGTTGCTCTCTCATTGGTTGCCTACTCATTGGTTGCTTTCTCATTGGTTGCTCTCTCATTGGTTGCCTACTCATGGGTTGCCTACTCATTGGTTGCTTTCTCATTGGTTGCTCTCTCATTGGTTGCCTACTCATTGGTTGCCTACTCATTGGTTGCCCCTCACTGGTTGCCTACTCATTGGTTGCTCTCCCATTGGTTGCCTACTCATTGGTTGCCCCCTCATTGGTTGCCTACTCATTGCTTGCTCTGTCATTGGTTGCCTACTCATTGGTTGCTCTCCTATTGGTTGTCCCCTCATTGGTTGCCTACTCATTGGTTGCCCCTCATTGGTTGCCTACTCATTGGTTGCCTCCTCATTGGCTGCCCCCTCGTTGGCCGCCCCCTCATTGGCCGCCTCCTCGTCGGGGGCCAGCCCCGCCATGACCCTCAGGCAGCGCCGGACCTCGCGCCGGCCCCGGTGCGCGCGCTTGGTGCCGCGGGGCAGGCGCCGGCACCCGGAGAGCTCCAGGAAGGAGAGGGCAGGGCAGGAGCGCAGCAGGACACTGGGGGGGGTTGGGGGGCACCGTGAGAGACCCCCATTGACCCCCATTGACACCATTGACCCCCATTGATCCCCATTGATCCCCATCGACACCGTTGATCCCCATTGACACCATTGATCCCCATCGACACCATTGATCCCCATTGATCCCCATTGACACCATTGACCCCCATTGATCCCCATTGACACCATTGACCCCCATTGATCCCCACTGACACCATTGACACCATCGACACCATTGATCCCCATCGACACCATTCATCCCCATTGATCCCCATCGACACCACTGATCCCCATTGATCCCCATCGACACCACTGATCCCCATTGATCCCCATTGACACCATTGATCCCCTTTGATCCCCATTGACACCATTGATCCCCATTGATCCCCATTGACACCATTGATCCCCATTGATCCCCATTGACACCATTGATCCCCATTGACACCATTGATCCCCTTTGATCCCCATTGACACCATTGATCCCCATTGATCCCCATCAACACCATTGATCCCCATTGACACCACTGATCCCCATCGACACCATTGATCCCCATTGATCCCCATTGACACCGTTGATCCCCATTGACCCCCATTGACACCATTGATCCCCATTGACACCATTGATCCCCATTTATCCCCATTGATCCCCATTGACACCATTGATCCCCATTGATCCCCATTGACACCATTGATCCCCATTGACACCATCGACACCATTGATCCCCATTGATCCCCACTGACACCATTGATCCCCATTGACACCATTGATCCCCATTTATCCCCATTGATCCCCATTGACACCACTGATCCCCATTGACACCACTGATACCATTGATCCCCACTGACACCATTGACCCCCATTGACACCCAGTGACACCCTTTGCCCCCGTTGCCCCCCCATTGCTCCCATTGACCTCCATTGACGCCCATTAGCCCCACTGATCACCACTGCTCCCATCCATTGTTCCCCATTGCCCCCCATTGCAACCTTTGAACCCCATTGATCCCCATTGACACCCAGTGACACCCGTTGCCCCCGTTGCCCCCCATTGACCTCCATTGATGCCCACTGACCCCATTGACCACCACTGCTCCCACTGATCCCCATTGCCCCCCATTGCAACCTTTGAACCCCATTGATCCCCATTGACACCCAGTGACATCCTTTGCCCCTGTTGCCCCCCCATTGCTCCCATTGACGCCCATTGACCACCACTGCTTCCATTGATCCCCACTGCCCCCCATTGCAAGCTTTGAACCCCACTGATCCCCACTGACACCCAGTGACAACCTTTGCCCGTTGCCCCCCATTGCTCCCATTGACCTCCATTGCCCCCCACTGACCCCCCATTGCTCCCATTGCCCCCCCATTGACCCCATTGCCCTCATTGATCCCCATTGACACCATCGCCCCCCACTGCAACCTTTGAACCCCATTGATCCCCACTGACATCCAGTGACACCCATTGCCTCTGTTGCCCCCCCTTTGCTCCCATTGACCTCCATTGAACCACACTGACCCCCCCATTGCCCCCATTGCCCCCATTGCTCCCATTGCCCCCCCATTGCCCTCATTGATCCCCATTGACACCATCGCCCCCCATTGCAACCTCTGAACCCCATTGATCCCCACTGACATCCAGTGACACCCTTTGCCCCCATTGCCCCTCCGTTGACCTCAATTGCCCCCCAATGACCCCACATTGACCCCCATTGATCCCCACTGACACCATGGACCCCCACTGCAACCTTTGAACCCCACTGATCCCCATTGTCACCCAGTGACACCCATTGCCCCCGTTGCCCCCCATTGCTCCCATTGACCTCCATTAATTCCCATTGACCTCATTGACCACCACTGCTCCCATTGATCCCCATTGCCCCCCATTGCAACCTTTGAACCCCACTGATCCCCACTGACACCCTTTGCCCCCCGTTGCCCCATGGCTCCCATTGACGTCCATTGACCCCATTGATCACCACATCTCCCATTGATCCCCATTGCCCCCCATTGCAACCTTTGAACCCCATTGATCCCCATTGACACCCAGTGACACCCGTTGCGCCCCCATTGCTCCCATCGACCTCCATTGCCCCTCAATGACCTCCCATTGCCCCCACTGATCCCCATTGACACCATGGCCCCCCATTGCAACCTTTGAACCCCATTGATCCCCGATGACATCCAGTGACACCCTTTGCCTCCATTGCCCCTCCGTTGACCTCCATTGCCCCCCATTGACCACCACTGCCCCCATTCCCCCCATTGGCCCCCATTGCCCCAATGCTCACCTGAGCCCTCGGGCGCTGACCTTGGTGCTGGCCAGGTTGAGGGCTCCCCATTGTCCTCATTGCCCCCCATTACCAATATTGCTCCCCATTACCGCCCATTGCCATTATACCATTACCCCCCATTGCCCCCATTACAGCCATTCCCCCCCATTGCCCCCATTGACACCCATTCCTCCCACTGGCCCCCTTTCACCCCCATTACTCCCCATGCTAACCTGAGCCCACGGGCGCTGACCTTGGCTCCCTATTGTCCTCATTGCCCCCATTGCCCCCATTCCCCCCATTGATCCCCATTGCCCCCCTTGTCCTCCATTAACCCCATTGCCCCCCATTGCTCAGTGCTCACCTGAGCCCTCGGGCGCTGACTTTGGTGCTGGCCAGGTTGAGGGCTCCCCATTGCCCCCAATTGACCCCATTGCCCCCATTGCCCCCCATTGATCCCCATTGCCCCCCATTGCCCCCATTGCCCCCCATTGCCCCCCATTGCCCCGGTGCTCACCTGAGCCCTCGGGCGCTGACCTTGGTGCTGGCCAGGTTGAGGGCTCCCCATTGCCCCCCATTGCCCCCATTCCCCCCATTGATCCCCATTGTCCCCATTGCCCCCCATTGCCCCCCATTGCCCCCCATTGCCCCAGTGCTCACCTGAGCCCTCGGGCGCTGACCTTGGTGCTGGCCAGGTTGAGGGCTCCCCATTGCCCCCCATTGCCCCCATTCCCCCCATTGATCCCCATTGCCCCCATTGCCCCCCATTACCCCCATTGCCCCCCATTGCCCCGGTGCTCACCTGAGCCCTTGGGCGCTGACCTTGGTGCTGGCCAGGTTGAGGGCTCCCCATTGCCCCCCATTGCCCCCACTGTCCCCATTCCCCCCATTGATCCCCATTGCCCCCCTTGTCCCCCATTACCCCCATTGCCCCCCATTGACCCCATTCCCCCCATTGATCCCCATTGCCCCCCATTGCCCCCATTGATCCCCATTACCCCCATTGCCCCCATTCCCTCCAATGATCCCTATTACCCCCATTGCCCCCCATTGCCCCAGTGCTCACCTGAGCCCTCGGGCGCTGACCTTGGTGCTGGCCAGGTTGAGGGCTCCCCATTGCCCCCCATTGCCCCCATTGCCCCCATTCCCCCCATTGATCCCCATTGCCCCACTGCTCACCTGAGCCCTCGGGCGCTGACCTTGGTGCTAGCCAGGTTGAGGGTTCCCCATTGCCCCCCATTGCCCCCATTGATCCCCATTGCCCCCATTGATCCCCATTGCCCCCATTCCCCCCATTGATCCCCATTCCCCCCATTGATCCCCATTGCCCCCCATTGCCCCGGCGCTCACCTGAGCCCTCGGGCGCTGACCTTGGTGCTGGCCAGGTTGAGGGCTCCCCATTGCCCCCCATTGCCCCCATTCCCCCCATTGATCCCCATTGTCCCCATTGCCCCCCATTGCCCCCCATTGCCCCCCATTGCCCCAGTGCTCACCTGAGCCCTCGGGCGCTGACCTTGGTGCTGGCCAGGTTGAGGGCTCCCCATTGCCCCCCATTGCCCCCATTCCCCCCATTGATCCCCATTGCCCCCATTGCCCCCCATTACCCCCATTGCCCCCCATTGCCCCGGTGCTCACCTGAGCCCTTGGGCGCTGACCTTGGTGCTGGCCAGGTTGAGGGCTCCCCATTGCCCCCCATTGCCCCCACTGTCCCCATTCCCCCCATTGATCCCCATTGCCCCCCTTGTCCCCCATTACCCCCATTGCCCCCCATTGACCCCATTCCCCCCATTGATCCCCATTGCCCCCCATTGCCCCCATTGATCCCCATTACCCCCATTGCCCCCATTCCCTCCAATGATCCCTATTACCCCCATTGCCCCCCATTGCCCCAGTGCTCACCTGAGCCCTCGGGCGCTGACCTTGGTGCTGGCCAGGTTGAGGGCTCCCCATTGCCCCCCATTGCCCCCATTGCCCCCATTCCCCCCATTGATCCCCATTGCCCCACTGCTCACCTGAGCCCTCGGGCGCTGACCTTGGTGCTAGCCAGGTTGAGGGTTCCCCATTGCCCCCCATTGCCCCCATTGATCCCCATTGCCCCCATTGATCCCCATTGCCCCCATTCCCCCCATTGATCCCCATTCCCCCCATTGATCCCCATTGCCCCCCATTGCCCCGGCGCTCACCTGAGCCCTCGGGCGCTGACCTTGGTGCTGGCCAGGTTGAGGGCTCCCCATTGTCCTCATTGCCCCCCATTACCCCCAATGTCCCCTATTGCCCCCATTATTCCCATTGACCCATTGAACCCCATTCCCCCCATTGATCCCCATTGCCCCCCTTGTCCCCCATTACCCCCATTCCCCCCATTGCCCCCATTACCCCCATTGTCCCCCATTACCCCCATTGCCCCCCATTGCCCCGGTGCTCACCTGAGCCCTTGGGCGCTGACCTTGGTGCTGGCCAGGTTGAGGGCTCCCCATTGCCCCCCATTGCCCCCATTCCTCCCATTGATCCCCATTGCCCCCCATTGCCCCCACTGCCCCCATTGATCCCCATTGCCCCCCTTGTCCCCCATTACCCCCATTGCCCCCCATTGCCCCCAATTGCCCCGGTGCTCACCTGAGCCCTTGGGCGCTGACCTTGGTGCTGGCCAGGTTGAGGGCTCCCCATTGCCCCCCATTGCCCCCATTGCCCCCATTGATCCCCATTGCCCCCCTTGTCCCCCATTCCCCCCATTGATCCCCATTGCCCCCATTGCCCCCCATTGCCCCGGCGCTCACCTGAGCCCTCGGGCGCTGACCTTGGTGCTGGCCAGGTTGAGCGCCCTCAGCGGCGCGTCGGGGCCCAGCGCGGCCATGGCCTGGGCCAGATCCTGCTCCTCGAAGCTGCGGGCGCTGAGGTCCAGGTCCCGCAGGCTCCGGCGCCATCTATGGGTCAGGGCGGCGCTGCCCCGCGAGAGGCGAGGGAGCTGCTCCGCGCCCCCCGGCAGCCCCAGCCAGAGCAGCTCCAGCTCTATGGGGAGGAAGAGGAGGGGAAGGGGCGGGGTCAATGGGGCGGAGTCAATGGGGTGTGGGGAATGGGCCATGGGGTGATATGGGGTGGCCAACGTGGCATGGAATGACATTGGGTGACACGGGATCGACCCAATATGGCATGGAATGGCAGGAGTCAACATGGCATGAGCCAACATCACATGAGCCAACAGGGCATGAGCCAACATGGCATGACCAACATCACATGACCCAACATGGCGTGGTCAACATCACATGACCCAACAGGACATGACCCAACATGGCATGAACCAACATCACATGAGCCAACAGGGCATGAACCAACATGGCGTGACCAACATCACATGACCCAACATGGCGTGGCCAACATCACATGACCCAACAGGGCATGACCCAACAAGGCATGAACCAACATCACATGAGCCAACAGGGCATGAACCAACATGGCGTGACCAACATCACATGACCCAACATGGCGTGGCCAACATCACATGACCCAACAGGGCATGAGCCAACATGGCGTGACCAACATCACATGAGCCAACATGGCGTGGCCAACATCACATGACCCAACAGGGCATGAGCCAACATGGCGTGACCAACATCACATGAGCCAACAAGGCATGAGCCAACATGGCGTGGCCAACATCACATGACCCAACAGGACATGACCCAACATGGCATGAACCAACATCACATGAGCCAACAGGGCATGAGCCAACATGGCGTGACCAACATCACATGAGCCAACATGGCGTGGCCAACATCACATGACCCAACATGGCGTGGCCAACATCACATGACCCAACAGGACATGACCCAACATGGCATGAACCAACATGGCATGAACCAACACCACATGAACCAACAGGGCATGAGCCAACATGGTGTGGCCAACATCACATGACCCAACAGGACATGACCCAACATGGCATGAACCAACATCACATGAGCCAACAGGGCATGAGCCAACATGGCGTGACCAACATCACATGAGCCAACATGGCGTGGTCAACATCACATAACCCAACATGGCGTGGCCAACATCACATGACCCAACAGGACATGACCCAACATGGCATGAACCAACATCACATGAGCCAACAGGGCATGAGCCAACATGGCGTGACCAACATCACATGAGCCAACATGGCGTGGTCAACATCACATAACCCAACATGGCGTGGCCAACATCACATGACCCAACAGGACATGACCCAACATGGCATGAACCAACATCACATGAGCCAACAGGGCATGGGCCAACATGGCGTGACCAACATCACATGAGCCAACATGACGGGGCCAACACCACATGACCCAACAGGACATTACCCAACATGGCATGAGCCAACATGGCATGGCCAACATCACGTGACCCAACACGGCATGGCCAACATCACATGAGCCAACATGGCGTGGCCAACATCACATGACCCAACAGGACATGACCCAACATGGCATGAACCAACACCACATGAACCAACAGGGCATGAGCCAACATGGCGTGGCCAACATCACATGAGCCAACATGGCGGGGCCAACATCACATGACCCAACAGGACATGACCCAACATGGCATGAACCAACATCACATGAGCCAACAAGGCATGAGCCAACATGGCGTGGCCAACATCACATGACCCAACATGGCATGAACCAACATGGCATGGCCAACATCACGTGACCCAACATGGCGTGGCCAACATCACATGACCCAACATGGCATGAACCAACATCACATGAGCCAACAAGGCATGAGCCAACATGGCATGGCCAACATCACATGACCCAACACGACGTGACCCAACATGACATGAGCCAACGTGGGATGATGCATGTCACATGACCCAACATGACATGGCCAACATCACATGACCCAACATGACATGACCCAACTTGGCATGACCCAACATGACATGAGCCAGTATCACATGACCAACATCCCATGAGCCAACATGACATGACCAACATCACATGACCCAACATCACGACCCAATATCACATGGCCGACATGACCCAACATCACATGACCACGCATGGCATGACCCAACATGACATGAGCCAGTATCACATGACCAACATCCCATGAGCCGACATGACCGACATGACCAACGTGACACGATCACACATCACATGACCCAACACGACATGACCCACCATCATGTGCCCACCATCACATGACCCAAGACACACCCCACCATCACATGACCCAACATTGACACACCCCACCATCACACGCCTCACCATCACATGACCAACATGACACGCCCCATCACATGACCCAACAAGACACGCCCCACCATCACATGACCCACCATCATGTGCCCACCATCACATGACCAACAAGACACGCCCCACCATTACATGCCTCACCATCACATGACCCAGCATTGACACACCCCACCATCACATGACCCAACAAGACACGCCCCACCGTGCCCACCATCACATGACCCAAGACACGTGCCACCATCACATGACCCACCATCACGTGCCTCACCATCACATGACCCAACAAGACACGCCCCACCATCAGATGACCCAACAAGACACGCCTCACCATCACATGACCCAACATTGACACACCCCACCATCACATGACCCAACAAGACACGCCCCCACCGTGCCCACCATCACATGACCCAAGACACGCGCCACCATCACATGACCAACAAGACACGCGCCACCATCACATGACCCAACAAGACACGCCTCACCATCACATGACCCAGCATTGACACACCCCAGCATCACATGACCCAACAAGACACGCCCCACCATCACATGACCCAGCATTGACACACCCCAGCATCACATGACCCAACAAGACACGCCCCACCATCACATGACCAACAAGACACGCCCCACCATCACATGACCCAACAAGACACGTCTCACCATCACATGACCCAGCATTGACACACCCCACCATCACATGACCCAACAAGACACGCCCCCACCATGCCCACCATCACATGACCATCACGTGCCTCACCATCACATGACCCACCATCATGCGCCTCACCATCACATGACCCAACAAGACACGCTCCACCATCACGTGTCTCACCATCACATGATCAACAAGACACGCCCCACCATCACATGACCAACAAGACACGCCCCACCATCACATGACCCAACAAGACACGCCTCACCATCACATGACCCAGCATTGACACACCCCAGCATCACATGACCCAACAAGACACGCCCCACCATCACATGACCCAGCATTGACACACCCCACCATCACATGCCTACCATCACACGCCCCACCATCACGTGCCTCACCATCACATGACCAACAAGACACGCGCCACCATCACATGACCCAACTTCACACTCCGCCCCCCCCTCCCACGTGACCCTCCCAGCCACGCCCCCGCCCCGGTCACGTGCTCACCTGCCGGCAGCTCCAGCAGCGCTCCGGGGGTGATGCGCGCGCAGCCGCTCAGGTCGAGAGTGCGCAGGCGCGGGGCCGCGCGCAGGAGGCGGCGCAGGAGCCAATCGGTGACGCCGGAGCCGGCGTCGGGGCCGCGCCCGCCCAATCGGAGCTCGCGAAGGGCCCGGAAGGGGCGGGGCGGGGGGGGAGGGGGAGCCCCGCAGGGGGGGGAGAAGGAGAGAGCCTGGAGGTGGAGAACCTGGGGGGGGGAGGGGAGGGTGAGAGGGTGAGGGGGGGGAGGGGATGGAGGTTATGGGGGGGTGGGGGGATGGGGCTATGGGGGATGGGGGGGAATGGGGGGATGGGATGGAGGTTATGGGGGGTGGGGGGATGGGGCTGGGGCTATGGGGGATGGGGGGGAATGGGGGGATGGGGGGATGGGGGGGGATTGGGGGAGGATGGGGGGGATGGGGATGGGGGTGATGGGGGGGAATGGGGTAGGGATGGGGAGGGGATTGGGGGGATGGGGGGTGGGGAGGATGAGGGGGGTTAGGGGGGGATGGAGTAGAATGGGGAGGGGATTGGGGGGATGGGCGAGATGGGGGGGGATGGGAATGGTGGGAATGGGATGGGGGGATGGGGGTATGGGATGGGGGAGGATGAGGGGGAATGGGGGGGATGGGGGAATTGGGGGAGGATGGGAGGGAATGGGGATGGGGGGCAATGGGGTAGGGATGGGGAGGGGATTGGGGGGATGGGAGGTGGGGGGATGGAGGTTATGGGGGGTGGGGGGATGAGGATGGGGGGAATGGGGGAATTGGGTGGGTGGGGGGACGGGGGAGATGGGATGGGAATGGGGGGGAATGGGATGGGGGGGATGGGGGAATTGGGGGAGGATGGGGGTGATGGGGGGCAATGGGTAGGAATGGGGATGGGGAGGGGATTGGGGGGGATGGGGGGTGGGGAGGATGAGGGGGGTTAGGGGGCATGTGGGGGGATGGGGGGTGGAAGGGGATGGGGGGGATGGGCAGGATTGGGGGGCATGGTGGACGATGGGGGGGACTGGGGGGGGATGGGGTCGGGATGGGAGGGGGTGGGGGGAATGTGGGGGGATGGGGAGGGATGGGGGGGAATGGGAGGGGATGGGGGGAAGGGCGGAGATGGGGGGGATGGGGAGGACGGATGGGGGGGAGGGGGTGAATGGGGTGGGATGGAGAGGTGGGGGATGGGGGAAAGGGGGGGGATGGGGGCGATTGGGGGGGGATGGGGGAGGGAATGGGGGGGGATGGGGATGGGAAAGGGGAATGGGGGGGATGGGGAAGGGATGGGGGGGGATGGGGGAGGGGGATGGGGGGGTGGGGGTGGGGTTTCTGGTGGGGGGCAATGGGGGCAATCCAGCTCCCCGGGGCCTGGGGGGAATGGGGGAGCGGGGCAATGGGGGGCAGCCCCCCAGGGGCATCCAGCTCCAGGGAGAGCAAATGGGGGCAGGCCCCGGCCTGGGGGGGGCAGTGGGGTCAGTGGGGGGGAATGGGGGGCAATGGGGGGCATTGGGGTCAATGGGGGTGCACAGGGGTCAATGGGGGGCAGTGGGGTCAATGGGGGCATTGGGGTCAATGGGGGGCATTGGGATCAATGGGGGTCAATGGGAGGGCATTGGGGTCAATGGGGGGCATTGGGGTCAATGGGGTTAATGGGGGGCATTGGGGTTAATGGGGAATGGGGTCAATGGGGGCAATGTGGGGTCAATGGGGGCAATGTGGGGCAATGGGTGTTAATGCAGCAATGTGGGGCAATGTGGGGCAATGTGGGGCAATGGGGTTCAATGGGGTTCAATGTGGGGCAATGTGGGTTCAATGGGGTTCAATGTGGGTTCAATGTGGGGCAATGTGGGTTCAATGGGGTTCAATGTGGGGCAATGTGGGGCAATGGGGTTCAATGTGGGGCAATGTGGGGTTCAATGTGGGGCAATGTGGGGCAATGTGGGGCAATGGGGGTTCAATGGGGTTCAATGGGGTTCAATGTGGGGCAATGGGGTTCAATGGGGTTCAATGTGGGTCAATGTGGGTCAATGGGGTTCAATGATGTTCAATGTGGGTCAATGGGGTTCAATGGGGTTCAATGTGGGGCAATGGGGTTCAATGGGGTTCAATGTGGGTCAATGTGGGGCAATGGGGGTTCAATGGGGTTCAATGGGGTTCAATGGGGTTCAATGGGGTTCAATGGGGTTCAATGTGGGGCAATGGGGTTCAATGTGGGGCAATGGGGTTCAATGTGGGGCAATGGGGTTCAATGGGGTTCAATGGGGTTCAATGGGGTTCAATGTGGGTTCAATGTGGGTCAATGGGGTTCAATGGGGTTCAATGTGGTTCAGTGGGGTTCAATGTTGTTCAATGGGGTTCAATGGGGGTCAATGTGGGTCAACCCCCCCCACCTGCAGCAGCGCCGCCTCCAGCATGGAGCAGAAGATCCCAAAGTGTTTGAAATTCCCGGTTCGGAGCGTGAGCTCCTCAATGGCTGCAAGGGGGCAGGGGGGCAATGGGGGGCAATGGGGGGCAATGGGGGCAATGGGGCAATGGGGGCAATGGGGGGCAATGGGGGGCTGTTGCTCTATGGGGCTGTTGCTCTATGGGGCTGTTGCTCTATGGGGTCAGGCTCTATGGGGTCAGGCTCTATGGGGCTGTTGCTCTATGGGTCAGGGCTCTATGGGGTCAGGCTCTATGGGTCAGGGCTCTATGGGGGCTCTATGGGTCAGGCTCTATGGGTCAGGGCTCTATGGGTCGGGGCTCTATGGGTCAGGCTCTATGGGTCAGGGCTCTATGGGTCAGGGCTCTATGGGTCAGGGCTCTATGGGTCAGGCTCTATGGGTCAGGGCTCTATGGGTCAGGCTCTATGGGTCAGGCTCTATGGGTCAGGGCTCTATGGGGTCAGGGCTCTATGGGTCAGGGCTCTATGGGGCTGTTGCTCTATGGGTTGGGCTCTATGGGGTCAGGCTCTATGGGTCAGGGCTCTATGGGTCAGGCTCTATGGGTCAGGCTCTATGGGTCAGGCTCTATGGGTCAGGCTCTATGGGTCAGGCTCTATGGGTCGGGGCTCTATGGGGTCAGGGCTCCATGGGTCGGGGCTCTATGGGCCGCTCTATGGGGCTGTTGCTCTATGGGGTCAGGCTCTATGGGTCGGGGCTCTATGGGTCAGGGCTCTATGGGTCAGGGCTCTATGGGGCGCTCTATGGGGCTGTTGCTCTATGGGGCGCTCCATGGGTCAGGCTCTATGGGTCAGGCTCTATGGGTCAGGGCTCTATGGGTCAGGGCTCTATGGGGCTGTCGCTCTATGGGTCAGGCTCTATGGGGCTGTTGCTCTATGGGGCGCTCCATGGGTCAGGCTCTATGGGTCAGGCTCTATGGGTCAGGGCTCTATGGGGCTGTTGCTCTATGGGTCAGGGCTCTATGGGTCGGGGCTCTATGGGTCAGGCTCTATGGGGCTGTTGCTCTATGGGTCAGGCTCTATGGGTCAGGGCTCTATGGGTCAGGCTCTATGGGGCTGTTGCTCTATGGGTCAGGCTCTATGGGTCAGGGCTCTATGGGTCAGGCTCAGGCTCTATGGGGCTGTTGCTCTATGGGTCAGGGCTCTATGGGTCAGGGCTCTATGGGTCAGGGCTCTATGGGGCTGTTGCTCTATGGGTCACGGCTCTATGGGTCAGGGCTCTATGGGTCAGGGCTCTATGGGGTCAGGGCTCTATGTGTCAGGGCTCTATGGGGCGCTCTATGGGGCCGGGGCTCTATGGGGCTGGGGCTCTATGGGGTCAGGCTCTATGGGTCAGGCTCTATGGGGCTGTTGCTCTATGGGTCAGGCTCTATGGGGTCAGGCTCTATGGGTCAGGCTCTATGGGTCAGGGCTCTATGGGTCAGGCTCTATGGGTCAGGGCTCTATGGGTCAGGCTCTATGGGTCAGGCTCCATGGGTCAGGCTCTATGGGTCAGGGCTCTATGGGTCAGGGCTCTATGGGTCAGGCTCAGGCTCTATGGGTCAGGGCTCTATGGGTCAGGCTCTATGGGTCAGGGCTCTATGGGTCAGGGCTCTATGGGTCAGGGCTCCATGGGTCAGGCTCTATGGGTCAGGCTCCATGGGTCAGGCTCTATGGGTCAGGGCTCTATGGGTCAGGGCTCTATGGGTCAGGCTCCATGGGTCAGGCTCTATGGGTCAGGCTCCATGGGTCAGGCTCTATGGGTCAGGGCTCTATGGGTCAGGGCTCTATGGGTCAGGGCTCCATGGGTCAGGGCTCTATGGGTCAGGCTCTATGGGTCAGGCTCCATGGGTCAGGGCACTATGGGTCAGGCTCTATGGGTCAGGCTCTATGGGTCAGGCTCTATGGGTCAGGGCTCTATGGGTCAGGCTCTATGGGTCAGGGCTCTATGGGTCAGGCTCTATGGGTCAGTCTCTATGGGTCAGGGCTCTATGGGTCAGGGCTCTATGGGTCAGTCTCTATGGGTCAGGGCTCTATGGGTCAGGGCTCTATGGGGCTGTTGCTCTATGGGGCACTCCATGGGTCAGGGCTCTATGGGTCAGGCTCCATGGGGCCGGGTCCTCACCAGCAGCATCGAAGTCCCCCCTCCATCGCTCCCCGGTGCTCGCGGCCTCGAGCTCCACGTGCAGGAGGGACGGGGCCAGGCCCAGGCGCAGCCAATGGGGGCCCTGGCGGAAGGGGCAGGAGGCCTGGAGGGAGCGGGGCTGCGCCATGGGGCTGGGGAGCTGTGGGGCAGAGAGCAACGGCAATGGGGCAGCTGTGGGGCAGGGAGCAACGGCAATGGGGCAGCTGTGGGGCAGGGAGCAACGGCAATGGGGCAGCTGTGGGGCAGAGAGGAACGGCAATGGGGCAGCTGTGGGGCAGAGAGGAACGGCAATGGGGCAGCTGTGGGGCAGAGAGGAACGGCAATGGGGCAGCTGTGGGGCAGGGAGGAACGGCAATGGGGCAGCTGTGGGGCAGAGAGCAACGGCACTGGGGCAGCTGTGGGGCAGAGAGCAACGGCAATGGGGCAGCTGTGGGGCAGGGAGGAACGGCAATGGGGCAGCTGTGGGGCAGGGAGCAACGGCAATGGGGCAGCTGTGGGGCAGGGAGGAACGGCAATGGGGCAGCTGTGGGGCAGGGAGCAACGGCAATGGGGCAGCTGTGGGGCAGGGAGGAACGGCAATGGGGCAGCTGTGGGGCAGGGAGCAACGGCAATGGGGAGCTGTGGGGCAGGGAGCAACGGCAATGGGGCAGCTGTGGGGCAGAGAGGAACAGCAATGGGGCAGCTGTGGGGCAGGGAGCAACGGCAATGGGGCAGCTGTGGGGCAGAGAGCAACGGCAATGGGGAGCTGTGGGGCAGGGAGCAACGGCAATGGGGCAGCTGTGGGGCAGAGAGGAACGGCACTGGGGAGCTGTGGGGCAGAGAGGAACGGCAATGGGGCAGCTGTGGGGCAGAGAGCAACGGCAATGGGGCAGCTGTGGGGCAGGGAGCAACGGCAATGGGGCAGCTGTGGGGCAGAGAGGAACGGCAATGGGGCAGCTGTGGGGCAGGGAGCAACGGCAATGGGGCAGCTGTGGGGCAGGGAGCAACGGCAATGGGGCAGCTGTGGGGCAGGGAGGAACGGCAATGGGGCAGCTGTGGGGCAGGGAGCAACGGCAATGGGGCAGCTGTGGGGCAGGGAGCAACGGCAATGGGGCAGCTGTGGGGCAGAGAGGAACGGCAATGGGGCAGCTGTGGGGCAGAGAGGAACGGCAATGGGGCAGCTGTGGGGCAGGGAGGAACGGCAATGGGGCAGCTGTGGGGCAGAGAGCAACGGCAATGGGGCAGCTGTGGGGCAGAGAGAACGGCAATGGGGCAGCTGTGGGGCAGAGAGGAACGGCAATGGGGCAGCTGTGGGGCAGGGAGCAACGGCAATGGGGCAGCTGTGGGGCAGAGAGCAACGGCAATGGGGCAGCTGTGGGGCAGAGAGGAACGGCAATGGGGAGCTGTGGGGCAGGGAGCAACGGCAATGGGGCAGAGAGGAACGGCAATGGGGCAGCTGTGGGGCATGGAGCAACGGCAATGGGGCAGCTGTGGGGCAGGGAGCAACGGCAATGGGGCAGCTGTGGGGCAGGGAGCAACAGCAATGGGTCAGCTGTGGGGCAGAGAGGAACGGCAATGGGGCAGCTGTGGGGCAGAGAGGAACGGCAATGGGGCAGCTGTGGGGCAGAGAGGAACGGCAATGGGGCAGCTGTGGGGCAGGGAGCAACGGCAATGGGGCAGCTGTGGGGCAGAGAGCAACGGCAATGGGGCAGCTGTGGGGCAGAGAGCAACGGCAGTGGGGCAGCTGTGGGGCAGGGAGCAACGGCAATGGGGCAGCTGTGGGGCAGGGAGCAACGGCAATGGGGCAGCTGTGGGGCAGAGAGCAACGGCAATGGGGCAGAGAGCAACGGCAATGGGGCAGCTGTGGGGCAGAGAGGAACGGCAATGGGGCAGCTGTGGGGCAGGGAGCAACGGCAATGGGGCAGCTGTGGGGCAGAGAGGAACGGCAATGGGGCAGCTGTGGGGCAGAGAGGAACGGCAATGGGGCAGCTGTGGGGCAGAGAGGAACGGCAATGGGTCAGCTGTGGGGGGCACTATGGGGCAGAGTCAGCAACGGCAATGGGGCAGCTGTGGGGCAGAGAGGAACGGCAATGGGGCAGCTGTGGGGCAGGGAGGAACGGCAATGGGGCAGCTGTGGGGCAGAGAGCAACGGCAATGGGGCAGCTGTGGGGCAGAGAGGAACGGCAATGGGGCAGCTGTGGGGCAGAGAGCAACGGCAAGAGCAACGGCAATGGGGCACCTGTGGGGCAGGGAGCAACGGCAATGGGGCAGCTGTGGGGCAGAGAGGAACGGCAATGGGGCAGCTGTGGGGCAGAGAGGAACGGCAATGGGGCAGCTGTGGGGCAGAGAGCAACGGCAATGGGGCAGCTGTGGGGCAGAGAGGAACGGCAATGGGGCAGCTGTGGGGCAGAGAGGAACGGCAATGGGGCAGCTGTGGGGCAGAGAGCAACGGCAATGGGGCAGCTGTGGGGCAGGGAGCAACGGCAATGGGGCAGCTGTGGGGCAGAGAGCAACGGCAATGGGGCAGCTGTGGGGCAGAGAGGAACGGCAATGGGGCAGTTGTGGGGCAGAGAGGAACGGCAATGGGGAGCTGTGGGGCAGAGAGCAACGGCAATGGGGCAGTTGTGGGGCAGGGAGGAACGGCAATGGGGCAGCTGTGGGGCAGGGAGCAACGGCAATGGGGCAGCTGTGGGGCAGGGAGCAAGGGCAATGGGGCAGCTGTGGGGCAGAGAGGAACGGCAATGGGGCAGCTGTGGGGCAGGGAGGAACGGCAATGGGGCAGCTGTGGGGCAGGGAGCAACGGCAATGGGGCAGCTGTGGGGCAGGGAGGAACGGCAATGGGGCAGCTGTGGGGCAGGGAGCAAGGGCAATGGGGCAGCTGTGGGGCAGAGAGGAACGGCAATGGGGCAGCTGTGGGGCAGGGAGGAACGGCAATGGGGCAGTTGTGGGGCAGAGAGGAACGGCAATGGGGAGCTGTGGGGCAGAGAGCAACGGCAATGGGGGTTGTGGGGCAGGGGGAACGGCAATGGGCAGCTGTGGGGCAGAGAGGAACGGCAATGGGGCAGCTGTGGGGCAGTGAGGAACGGCAATGGGGCAGCTGTGGGGCAGAGAGGAACGGCAATGGGGCAGCTGTGGGGCAGAGAGCAACGGCAATGGGGCAGCTGTGGGGCAGAGAGCAACGGCAATGGGGCAGCTGTGGGGCAGAGAGCAACGGCAATGGGGCAGCTGTGGGGCAGGGAGCAACGGCAATGGGGCAGCTGTGGGGCAGGGAGCAACGGCAATGGGGCAGCTGTGGGGCAGAGAGGAACGGCAATGGGGGAGCTGTGGGGCAGAGAGCAACGGCAATGGGGCAGCTGTGGGGCAGGGAGCAACGGCAATGGGGCAGCTGTGGGGCAGGGAGGAACGGCAATGGGGCAGCTGTGGGGCAGAGAGCAACGGCAATGGGGCAGCTGTGGGGCAGGGAGCAACGGCAATGGGGCAGCTGTGGGGCAGAGAGGAACGGCAATGGGGCAGCTGTGGGGCAGAGAGCAACGGCAATGGGGCAGCTGTGGGGCAGAGAGGAACGGCAATGGGGCAGCTGTGGGCTGAGGGAGCAACGGCAATGGGGCAGCTGTGGGGCAGAGAGGAACGGCAATGGGGCAGCTGTGGGGCAGAGAGCAACGGCAATGGGGCTGAGCAACGGCAATGGGGGCTGGGGCAGAGAGGAACGGCAATGGGGCAGCTGTGGGGCAGGGAGCAACGGCAATGGGGCAGCTGTGGGGCAGGGAGCAACGGCAATGGGGCAGCTGTGGGGCAGAGAGCAACGGCAATGGGGCAGCTGTGGGGCAGAGAGGAACGGCAATGGGGCAGCTGTGGGGCAGGGAGCAACGGCAATGGGCAGCTGTGGGGGGACGGCAATGGGGCAGCTGGGGCAGAGAGCAACGGGGAGCTGTGGGGCAGAGAGGAACGGCAATGGGGCAGGGGCAACGGCAATGGGGCAGCTGTGGGGATCAAGAGAGCAACGGCAATGGGGCAGCTGTGGGGCAAGGGAGCAACGGCAATGGGGCAGCTGTGGGGGGGACGGCAATGGGCAGCTGTGGGGCAGGAGCAACGGCAATGGGGCAGCTGTGGGGCAGAGAGGACGGCAATGGGGCAGCTGTGGCAGAGGCAACGGCAATGGGGCAGCTGTGGGGCAGGGAGCAACGGCAATGGGGCAGCTGTGGGGCAGAGAGGAACGGCAATGGGGCAGCTGTGGGGCAGAGAGCAACGGCAATGGGGAGCTGTGGGGCAGAGAGCAACGGCAATGGGGCAGCTGTGGGGCAGGGAGCAACGGCAATGGGGCAGCTGTGGGGCAGAGAGCAACGGCAATGGGGCAGCTGTGGGGCAGGGAGCAACGGCAATGGGGCGCTGTGGGGCAGGGAGCAACGGCAATGGGGCAGCTGTGGGGCAGATGAGGAACTGGGGCAATGGGGCAGCTGTGGGGCAGGAGCAACGGCAATGGGGAGCTGTGGGGCAGAGAGCAACGGCAATGGGGCAGCTGTGGGGCAGGGAGCAACGGCAATGGGGCAGCTGTGGGGCAGGGAGCAACGGCAATGGGGCAGCTGTGGGGCAGAGAGCAACGGCAATGGGGAGCTGTGGGGCAGGGACAATGGGGCTATGGGGGGGCACCCATGGGTATGGGATGTGGGTCTATGGGGGGGGATCAATGGGGCTGGGGGATCAATGGGGCTGGGGATCAATGGGGCTGGGGATCAATGGGGCTGAGGGATCAATGGGGCTGGGGGATCAATGGGGCTGGGGATCAATGGGGCTGGGGGGATCAATGGGGCTGGGGATCAATGGGGCTGGGGGATCAATGGGGCTGGGGATCAATGGGGGGGGATCAATGGGGCTGGGGGATCAATGGGGCTGGGGGATCAATGGGGCTGGGGATCAATGGGGCTGGGGGATCAATGGGGCTGAGGGATCAATGGGGCTGGGGGATCAATGGGGCTGGGGGATCAATGGGGCTGGGGATCAATGGGGCTGGGGATCAATGGGGCTGGGGTTCAATGGGGATCAATGGGGCTGGGGTTCAATGGGGATGAATGGAGGGGTTCAATGGGGCTGGGGATCAATGGGGCTGGGGTTCAATGGGGCTGGGGTTCAATGGGGCTGGGGGGGATCAAT